CAAATATGCCAAATCTTTTTTAAAAGCATGGTTTCCTCAGCAACACCTCAGCAAAAATGAGCCAACTCATTTTAGATTCAAATTATTTTTATTTTTTGCATGACAAAGAACACGTCAGCTTAGCTAACATATTTAAGATTTGCGTTGTTTATTCCATAGCATCTCAAAAAATTTAATTGGATTATAAAAAAAAACAAAGCGAAAAAACATAACTGTTAAGGAAATTAATTCATCGGAGAAGTGTAGCACGTTTGTGTCTTAAGTATTTTGTTTTTGTGCACAGAAGGGCACCGACACAGAGCTGCTGTCAACCAATTTTGTTAATATGTTGAGGAACTAATTTGTATTGAATATAGAGGAAATGTCATGCCTATGGTCTAGAAAATATATTCTAAAGATCTGAATTGCAAGAGTTAAAAATCAGTGGTCGGAAATATGTTGTTTGGGTAAAAACCGAATTGTCAAAATTGATTTTAAATATAGACTTTTTTGAGGGTATTTAATGGATTTGTATTTTTTTGACTAACATATTGACCTTGACCTTAATTGCGTGTTACAGTTTTTTTATGCAATAATGTATTGAAACCCATTAGACTAGGGCAGACTATGAATAAATGCATAACAAAAATGGTGTAAAATATCAAAACGGAAAGAGGTATCAACATACTCAGAAAAAGCTGAGTACTGGCTTTTGAACAATTCCATGAAGAAGCCCGAAAGGGTGTAAAATTTTTCTCATTTTCTTGAAAATAAAATGCTTAGTAAGAAAAGAACACATTTTGTAAAATGCCTTTGTCGCATAGAAGACTTACCCAAGATTTCATATCTATATAAAGGTATTTTTATCAATATATAATACATAAGTTCTTCAAAGAGATTTCCACCTATAGAAGTCCAGGAAAATATGTCGAATTTGGAGAAAAGTTTTCTATGAAGCCAGATCCTGTATATATCAATATTTATGTTTGTATATAAAAGAGTGGAGTTGTGCATGAGTGACTGAGTGGTTGACCAACGTCCAGACAAAATGGCTGAGGAATAAATTGACATTGAAATTTTGCATGTAGATCAATGTTAATGTGTAGGGTGAGATATGAGTAGATTTTTGGAAATTCGTACCATAAGTGTACAAATGGCACTAAATGGTGCTAAAAATGTAATCCATTGAATTGGGAAAAGGGATAGAACTAGAATTCCGGCGTTTTGAATGAAGATCGTTGAAGAGGAGTAAGATATATGTACCAAATATTTTTAGAACTATAAATAAAGAAAAAAAAAGTACTAACATGTACTAAATTTGGCCTATTTCTAGATTAGTAAAAACTTTTAATTTTTTTTTAAATTTTTTCTAGTGATATTATTTTTATCCTGACTCAGGGAAACCATTTGTTTCTTGGGGGACAGACCCGGTACCCCACATTTCAAGACCACTTGTTGGATAAGTATTTTCATGAGCTTTCAAACGATACTTGTCTTAATCGGGTATGTGGATCTGGGTTCAGTCCGGGTCGTGAATCCGGACTTGCGGGGTCAAAAATCTGGCTCCCGGGTCCGTCCCCCATGAAAAAACTAGTTTCCCAGAATCAAGGTTAAAATAACTACCTCTCTGAAAAATCGAAGAATTTTTACTAAATTAGAGTTGTTCTCTAAATTTGGTACCATTAGGTATCGTGTGAACGGGTAGAGCTAAAATCTTTTGCTACAGTAATTAAGTTTGGAAGTACGGTTAATATAAGGAAGTGGAATTGGAAATGTTTGCTAAATGTACTTGGTACAACTTTGGTGTTCTGGTGAATGGATGTAGCTGAAATTATGAAATTTTGGTATTAAGGTCAAAGCTGTTGTGTAAGTTTGGAGGTGGATATGGAAATTGTACCAAAAAAGTACAAAAACTACTAAATGGTAATAAATTTGGTATTTTGTGAAATATAGAGTTGGAAATCTTAAATTTCGTTTTAGGATTACTTTTTGTGCAATAGACATGATATATGGAAGTGGATGTGGAAATTCGCCCCAATAAAGTATGAAAAGAATAAAATGATATTAAATTTGATATTTCCGAAACGATTAGAGCTCTAAATCGGAAATTTGAAATGAAAGTTATTGATGTTGTGTAGAATAGACAAGCCAAAGTGTTTTTGGAAATTCGAACAATAAGAGTACCAAAAGTACTAAAATTTATTAGATGTGGTACCATCATCACATTATGTGAAAGGAAAGGGTCAAATTTTAAAATTTGGTATGTGAATCAAGTTTCGAAAGTAGAGTTCATATACGGAGTTGGTTTTAAAATTGTGTACTAATTGTAAGAGCTGTACTAAGTACCATTTATGTACAATATGAATAGATAAATAGATAAAAGTGAAATGATGAAATTTAGTAGAGAAAGAGTTCGTTCTAGAAATACGTAAAAAAGTTGCACGAAAAATTACTATTTGGTACTACCTTCCGTATAGAGTGTAGAAATGGAAATTGAATTGTAAAAATTTGAAATAATATTCGGTAGATGATATCATAAGCACCCCAGAAACACCCTTGCCAAATCCTTCCGAGATCGGTTCTTATTTGGATGTAACTCCCATGTATATCCTCGTCCGATTTCAAGTTCATTTTGCACCAAACGTGTTATATCAGGAAAAATAAGATGAATTATGGCACAAATGTAGTCAGAAAGCAATTTCATCAAATTTGGTAAAAATCGGTTCAAATATAGCTATAGCACCGATATATCAGTTTCTCAAAGTCATAACATGCACTCTATAAAACTGTTATTTGGTACGGGAGGTGAAATCGATGAAGGTGATGATATAGCTCCGATATGGTGGTTTGATTCTCATACCACATTTCAAGTTTTTAGCCCCATCCGTTCACATAATACCAATTGCTACCATTTTAGAAATTTAGTATGGTATTTAAATTTTTCGTAACCGTAAAGCCGAACTGCATTAGTGATTCTTATGTCAAATATCAGAACAACAACTTTCAGAGCAATAACCCGAAAAGTGATTCTCATGTCAAATATCAGAACAACAAGTTTCAGAGCAATAACCCGAATAGTTCAATATTTTTAGTACGAATTTCTAAAAAATCCACATATGGGATCTATAGCTATATCTGAACCGATCTTCACCAAATTTATAGTACTTGTTTCTACGATGATTTCAGTCCGAAGTGCCAAAATTCAGTCAATTTTGAGCTGATATTAGCCGTTTGGTGCATAATAAACCTGAAATCGGATAAAGAAAGCTATATTCAAATCTAAACCGATCTTGATAAAATAAAAATAATTGTTAAAATAAAAAAAAAAAACATATGTTTCCATTATGTAAAAAATATCCTTGTCAATGTAGGTCTAATTATTTTTGATATAGTTCTCATATAATTGCACCTCCAAATATTCGGAATTTTGATGATTTGTGTCACACTTTTCACCCGAAATGTTTCAAAATTGAAATTTGAAATTCCTAACGGGTACTACATTCTATGACAGAAAATTGTACACATAGGTCAATGTTTTTGTATGGCCCCTATGTAACTGTACCTCCCTATATTCGGTATTTTTATGATTTTAGCGACATTATCCATCGGAATTTTATTAATTTTCGTATTATATGTTCGTAATGGGTAATACAGCCTGTGACAAAAAGGTATCCCCTTTATTCGGTATTTTGATGACTTTAGCAACATTATCCATCGGAATCAAATTTCATATTTGAAGTTCCTAATGGGTACTAACGTCTGTGACAGACGATCTTCGGAGGGCCCAATATAACTCCCTATATTCAGTATTTTTATGATTTCAGTAGTACTCTTAGACATGAATCCACAAGTTTCATATATATATATGAGAGCTATAGTCCGTCACATTCGTAATATGCATTCGAAAAGAATGATATTTGCTTTACCAGATATCAGAAATACCTTTGCCAAGATCGGTTTAGATTCGGATATATATCTTCCTCCCATATATATCTTCAACTGATTTCGGGTTAATTGTGCACCAAATGGCTAAGATCAGTCCAATAGTCCTGAATTTTGGCATATCCGACCTAATTCAGTCTAGAAGCAATTACATCAAATTTGATAAAAATCGGTTCAGATATAGATATAGCTCCCATATATAGGTTTCATCCGATTTGGCATTTAAGTCCCCCACATGCGTAATGTGCACTCCATCGCAGTGTTTAAAATATTGTCAAGATCGGTTAAGATTTGGATAACAATGGCTTTCGATTCAAAATTTTCGATTTCAAAATTCTAGTATATCAGGCTTTATAGTACTTTTGGCTACATTAGGCGGAATAATTAAACAAATTTTAGAACTGTAACTCGACCGGCACTATATTTTGTACCATTTATTACGAATTTCTCAAAATTTCCACTTTATTTCATACCCTACGCTAACTGTAACCAACCTTAGAAATTTATTTTATTTTTAAGACGTCGTCTGGACGAAAGAGGCAATCACTCAGTAATATTTTACCATTTTATGTGCATAGACTAAAAACCGAATATAGCATTCCTACATACATAAACTCTTCCGATATTTTTTGGTCCATAAATCAAACATTCATTTCATTTCCTTGTCAGATACTAATTTATTTATTTATTTGGCAAATACTACCGAATTTCGAAACGAGAACAACTCCATTTTTTACTATTACGAAATCTATCACTAGAAGCTGAAAAATGTCCGCTTGTTCTGAATACCAAATTGCAGCGAAAACCCACAATTTATCTGTCAATATTTGCCGCACGCTTGTGTCTTAAGTCTTTCGTTTCATTTGGCATATATGCCAATTAAATTAAATCTATGCTCGCATATTTCGTAACTGTTCTTAACACATTAAGGCAATAGCAAATTATGCAATATATCATGCTTTAAGAAATTTTAAATAAATGGCTTGCCGAAAAATTCTAGTCTCACAAAAAATGTCGAATATTACAAAATTTTTGCAAATTTTATTTAATTTTTTTTTCTTCTTCCAAAATTTTTGCAGATTTCATTGCTGATCAACAACGCTGGCGTTGTGTCCGGTATGCATTTGCTTAATACACCCGATCATTTAATTGAACGTTCCTTCAATGTAAATGTTATGGCTCACTTTTGGGTAAGTGCGAGTGTGTGAGGTTAGAAAAGAGTGTGTGTGTATGAGTTTGTTTGCAACAAGTTTGGTGGCACCAATACGTTTGGCCTCACAAGAACGAGTTGTATGCATTGCAACGCACTCGAATTATTCTTGTGTTGTAATAATATTGACTCCAACCAAACTCTGAGGCATTTTGGATTCTTGTTAACCTTGTTGTGAGGTTTTGAATTGTTTGTCTACCTCGCCATGGTGTTGAACAAAGTAAATTTAATATTTGTTTTTGTTTTTTTTTTTGCTGTTGCGTTTCTTTACAGACCACCAAAGCTTTCCTACCCAAAATGATTGAGAATCAAAGTGGCCATATTGTAACCATAGCCTCATTGGCCGGCCATGTTGGCATAACCAAATTGGTCGACTACTGTGCCAGTAAATTTGCTGCGGTAAGTTGTGGCTGTTGTTATTTGAAATCTTGTTTTTCTTTTTGATTTTTTTTTTCAATGCTTGAGAATTCTTTAAAGAAAATTTTGCAACATTTTTGCTCATGCCTATGTGTGTGTGCGTGGCAAATGTGGTTTTGTGTTGGCCAACATTGATTTGTTGTTTTTGTTTTTTTCTTTCCAAATCCCCAGGTTGGTTTCGATGAAGCTTTACGCTTAGAACTTGAAGTCCTTGGTCACACCAATATCCAAACCACATGTGTCTGCCCGTTCTTTATTCAACAGACTGGCATGTTCGACGATGTTAATGCCCGGTAAGTTAATTAAAAAATCTGGTTTTGAAATTAAAAATTATTTATTTATAATATATTATTTCGAAAATACGTAATAATATGAAAAAAAAATTGTCTGATATCTCATAAGAGAATGCAATCAATTGTGGTTACTTCAAACAAAAAAAAGTGAAAGTGTTTGGAAATCAGAAAAAAATCATGTCGATGTGTGGGAACACGTGCCGACTATAAAATCTTTAAACTTTAGAAGATCCTATATCAATGGAATAACTTAAAAATCTCTTAAAGTATCTCATATCTGGAAACTGAGGGTAGGTCCAAATTTTTTAATGGATCAATAGCACTGAGAATCTGGTCGAGGAAATTTTAAAAAAAAGTTTAGGGTCATGGTCGTTCATTTAAAAAATATTAAAGGCCTAAATGAGTTATTGTCGTATATTATTATTATATATATGTGTCGATTTATCAAAGTCCGTCCGTCTGTCCGTCTGTGGAAATCACTCTAGCTTCCGAACGAAATGAAGTAGATTGATAAAATTTTACTCAAATGTGTATTATGTCTGCAGGACTTTTGGTATTGAAAATGGGCCATGTAGGTCCACGTTTTCGTATAGCCCCCATATAACGGTACCTCCCGATATTGGGTATTTTGATGATTTTAACGACATTATTTACCGGAATTATTTCAAATTTTGTATTTGGATTACGTAATAGATACTACATCCTAAGACAGAAAATGACCTAATGTCTTCGTATAGCCTCCATATAACGGAACCTTGCGATATTCGGTATTTTGATGATTTTAGCGAGATTATTTATCGGAATTATTTCAAATTTAATATTTAAAGTGCGTATGAATACTACAGCCTATGACAGAAAATTGTTTTTGCCGGTCCACGTTTTCGAATTGCCCCCATATAACGGTACTCCCGATATTCGGTATTTTAATGATTTTAGCGACATTATTTACCGGAATTGTTTCAAATGTTGTATTTGAAGTTCGTATTGGATACTACAGCCTATGACAGAAAATTGTCTGTATAGGTCCACGTTTTATAACCCCCATGGTACCTCCCTATATTCGGTATTTTAATGATTTTAGCTACATGATAAACAGATTTTTTTTCAAGTTTCGCATTTGATTATTGTAATGTCTTATGACAAAAGTTGCCTATGCAGGTCCACGTCGTCGTATAGACCCTTATATACGGCTACATTCGGTATTTTTTAGATTTTAAAAGAATTTTTTTTTGTTAAATTTGTACCAAATGGTGGAGGGTATTCAAAGTTCGGCAAAGTTGTTTTTCAAATATTTTTTATGAGGTACAAGAGGACAATAGTTAAGCATTTTTAAGGCAAAATATTTACGAGACCAGCAGAACAGATTTTATGAATATTTTCCAACAACCAATAGAGTTAAGATTTTGGATTTTGTGGAGAATGTTTTCCAAAGGATAAAGAGAACAACAATCGTAAATTTTTAAATAAATAGTTTTAAAGGATAAGAGGAACAGATTTTATGACCATTATTCAACGACCAACAGCTCTGAGATTTACGATTTTTTAGAGAATAATTTTCAAGGATCCACAGGACAATAATCGTGGATTTTTAAAGAAAAAGTTTTAAAGGATTAGAGTGACAGATTTTTTGACCATTATTCAACGACCAACAGCGCTGAGATTTTGGATTTTTTAGAGAATATTTTTCAAGGACCCTCAGGCAATAATCGTGGATTTAAAAAAAAATTAAAGGATTAGAGGAACAGATTTTATGACCATTATTCAACGACCAACAGCGCTGAGATTTTGGATTTTTTAGAGAATACTTTTCAAGGACCCACAGGACAATAATCGTGGATTTTTAAAGAAAAACTTTAAATATTAGAGGAACAGATTTTATGACCATTATTCAACGACCTACAGCGCTGAGATTTTGGATTTTTTAGAGGACACTAATCGTGGATTTTTAAAGAAAAAGTTTTGAAGGATCATAGGAACAAATTTTATGACCATTATTCAACGACCAAGAGCTCTAAGATTTTGGATTTTTTAGAGAATATTTTCCAATCGTGAATTTTTAAAGAAAAACTAATAAAGGATTTGAGGAACAGATTTTATGGCCATTATTCAACGACCCAGAGCGCTGAGATTTTGGATTTTTTAGAGAATATTTTTGAAGGACCCACAGAACAATAATCGTGGATTTTTAAAGAAACAGTTTTAAAGGATTTGAGGAACAGATTTTATGACCAGTATTCAACGAGCAACAGCGCTGAGATTTTGGAGTTTTTAGAGAATATTTTTCATGGACCCACAGGACAATAATATTGGATTTTTAAAGAAAAAAGTTTAAACGACCAATAGACAGTTTTTAAGAATAGTTTTCAAAAACCAATAGAGCAAAAATTTGGAAAAAAAATCATGGATTTTTAAAGAAAAAGTTTTAAAGGACCATTGGAGCAGTTTTTAAAAACAGTTTTCAAAAACCAACAGATCTCAATTTTGGTATTTTTTAAAGTAAATTTTAAGGGTCAACGAAGCCATACTCCTGGATTTGTTTTATACCTTCAGTAATATGGCTAGAGTCAAACGACATAATTTTTAAATTTTTTTTTAATTTTATTGAATGAAAGCAAAAAAGGTCGGACATAGCCTCACATTTTAGAATAAGTTTAGATTTGTTCGAATTGGTCAACTTTGGCACGAATTATGGCATTTAAACGGCCAATGAAACCGTCACACGCTGTCCGAATGTTGCTCTTCGGTATTTTGTATCATTCCCGGGGAAGCGCTTGCTTGAAATGATCGACACTTTGGTGTTATTTAGTTTTAGCTTTCCAAAATACTCCAGACACAATAGTACAACGGATTGGTATCCGGAGATTTCGGTGGCCATTGTGCGCTGGAAATGAAGCGAGGAACCTCATTTTGTAACCATTTTTGGGTGGCGCGTGTTGAGTTCGATTGCGCTGAGCTCGATGGTGCTGAGTCCTGTTGGGATGTCCAAGGTCTGCGGACAAAATTTTTGCGCCCCCAAGCCTTTAATACACCCTCCAGAATATTTTCGCAATAATATTCGGCATTTATTCTGATGTCACGGTCGATTAATACGAGCGGAGAGCAACCATCGGCTGTTATGGCGGCCCACACCATCGCCATGGCCGGCGCTTGAGTTCTGGTGGCCAACCCAAGGGTGGACATTTTCAGCTGACCTCTTTGGCAAGTAAACCCGATCATTTTGTTTGTTTACTAACTGCTGGACAACGAATATTTTCTCATCGGAGAAAAACAAATTCGGCAGTTCACCACTTTCGGCCAAGCGAAACAAATATTTAGATAGAGTCTACTTTCTTTCTGTGGGGAAGTAAGTTCTTGCACATTTTGGAATTTCAATGGCTGCACCTCCAGCTCATTTCAATATTTGCCGAATGGAATATTGCGATATTTTCAGCTCACAAGCCATTTTTCGGCCGCTGCGACGCGGGTTTCAATCAAGTCTTCTCTTTACTTTTCGAACAATTTCTGCTGATGTTGCTGCTTTCGTCCGTTTACTTCCTTGACGACGGGCTACGCTACCAGCATCACGGTAATGAGCGATGGTACGAGACACAAAAGATTTTTTTTCGCATTTTAATGCTGGAGTGCTCTAACGATAGCCACATGTGGTTTTCCAGCCAAATATAAAGAAATCTCACTCTCACGCTTGAATTCCATCACGAATTATTTTTTTTGGGGAAAATTCTCACCAAAATGCTTTTGTACACTTGTAAACAATATAATGAGCAGGCACTGGGATAATTTTAACAGCTGTCGGACGAGCGGCTTAGAAATGACAGCAGTCTGAAGTTGGTTGCAGTTTTTTCATCTCCCCCTGTATATCTTCAACCGATTTAAGGTTAATTGAGCACCAAATGACCAATATCTGCCCAAAAGTCCCGAATTTTGGTACATCCGACCGAATTCAGTCTTGAAGAAAATATATCAAATTTGAAGAAAATCGGGTCAGATATAGCTATAGCTCCCATAAATATGTCTCTTCCGATTTGTTGTTTAAGTCGCTCACATGTGATAATATGCACTGCACAAAAATGATATTTGTTACCAGATATCAGATACAGCCCAGAAATACCTCTTCCTCTTATTAAAATCGGTTCAGATTTGGATATAGTCCCCATATATATCTTCAACCGATTTCAGGTTAATTGTGCACCAAACGGCTAATGTCAGCCCAAATGGACTGAATTTCAGCACTTCGGCCTAAATTCATCCTAGAAATAAGTACTACAAATTTAGTGAATATCGGATCAGATATAGCTATAGCTCCCATGTATATGTTATATTTTTTATTATCTCAATAATTAATAAAATTTTGTTTTTTTTTTTTCATTGCAGCTGGGTGCCCACTTTAAATCCAAATGATGTTGCCGATCGTGTCATTACTGCCATAAAGAAAAATGAAAAGATTGCCATAATTCCAGGATATTGTAAATTCCTATTATCCCTCAAATGGTTAGTGAGAAGCCTAAAATTATAAAAAAAATTGAAAATTAAATTTATATTCCCCTTTCTAGGACCTTCCCATGGGGTTGTGTGGGTGGTTTGCTCAGACGTCTGGTGCCCGACGCCTCACCACATGGTATTGCCCAGAAATCATTGTTGAATGTATACAAAAAATTATCAGCAACAGCAAGTCCTGCAACAGCTGTCAGCAGTATAACAGATATCTCATCGACATTTAAGGAGCCTGCAGCTCTCACAAAAGCCGGAACATTGTTAATAAAACGTTCACCCTCACTGGGTGAAAGAGTGTTGTAAGGCGATAGTTTGGCCCTGCAGATATATAGATAGTTATAAGGGTGGCTGATTGTTTTCAACATGTGCACGCTTGCTTGCTAGCCCGCCGAAGACAGTCACAACAACAAAAAATTTAGTCTAGTAAAACCTAAGAGGTCTTAGCTTATTAAGTATTCCCATCTTTGTTTTTTCAATTTCCTGAATGCTTTTAATTTATTTAAAAAAAGAAATTTGGCATTTGTATTTCTGTACTTCTCTTAAAGGAATACAGTGGGGCAAGAAAAGTAATTTTTGAAAATATTGAATTGTAAATTATCTTAGATATATCCGCATCCCACAGAGGGATAGGTTACTGATATATCTCCCATTAAATAATGAAACAAAAATAATGTACTTATGTTACGTTTTGTCCCACTGTATTTTACTTTTGTACCTAGTTTAAAGAAGTGTTCTCGTATATTTTCTAGTATTAGTTGTAGTTAGGCAATATCAAAAGACAAAAAGTTTAAAACAAAATGTTTGATGAAAGAGATCAAAAATGTGCTCAAGACAAAGTCCTTGTAAGGCATAGAGAGAGAAAGAGAGAGATATTGAAATCGTTTTAGCCTTCCAGTGAATAAAAAAATGCTGGAAGACTAAAATTGTAATCCCCTCTCCCTAAAAGAAAGCTACAAGTATTTTATTCTCTAAGAATAGGCTTTCTTATTACCCTGGATGCCAAACATTTCATTTTTTGCTACAAAATTAAAGTAAATACTTTTAAGTGATATTAATTGTAGTTATAGTTCTTAGTTGTAATTGTTTTTATTTTTCTAATATTTTTTTGAACAATCAGCGAAACGAAAACAAACAAATCAGGGTTATATTTTCAAATTTTAGTTTTAAGCGTTTTTTTTCCTACAACAAACACATTTCATATTTTCACTTTGTTTTCTATATGTATTGTTTATAAGTCGGTTTAAGTTGCAATTGCATTAAGGCACTTCTTAATCCTCCCCTTCATTTCATCATTTCCCAATCCCAAACATTTCCATTTGGACCAGTATAAACAAATAACAGTCATTTATATTCCCAAATATCCTTTATATTCCCAAATATCAAACCCAACTTCTCAACCTATCCCATCCTTCGATTCCTTTCGTAATCTTACCAAAGATTCCTTAATAAAGATTGTTTTTTTATTGTTCCATATCAAGTTAATTTTAATATTAATAATTCAAATACAATACCTAGTTTTTGAAATCTGCAATATACACTCAAAAAGTATTAGCTGTATTCCCCAACTTTACTTAGGTTTACCATCACGGATGCAAAATCTCTGGTCAACACTTCATCAATTAATTAACTTTGGAAGGATAAAAACTTACCGTCTTTGCCTGTCACAGACTTCCTTCTCTGTTGTTAATAAGCTACTAAAACTTCTTACCCATAATGCGCCAATGAACACTGCATTTCTTTAATGTAGGAATAATTGATCGTTTCCCAATTGTTATTAATACTTGCTCCACAAACAATGTATTAGCTTTGTTGTTGACCACCAAGGATGCACAATACCTCATCAACCCTTCTGCCATCACTTAATTCCCTTTGAAAGAATTAAAATCTGCCATCTTTGGCTGTCGCAGACTTCTTTCTCTGTAGTTAATAAGCAACTAAAACCCGTGATGCGCCAACGAAAACTACATCTCTCTAATGTAGGGGTAATTGCTCGTTTCCCAATTGTTATTTATACTTGCTCCACAAACAATGTATTAGTTTGTTGGGACCATTCCCCAACTTACCTGGACCATCAATTAATTCCCTTTGGAAGAATTAAAATTTGGCTTTCGCAGATTTCTTTCTTTGTTGTAAATAAGCTACTAAAACTTCTTACCCGTGATGTGCCAACGAACACTGCATTTCTCTAATGTAAGGATAATTTCCCAATTGTTATTAATAATTGTTTCACAAACAATGTATAAGTTTTGTTGAAGTCATTTCCCAACTTTGCTAAGGCTTACCACCACGGATGCACAATCCCTGGTCAACCATTCTGCCACCAATTAATTCCCTTTGGTAGAATTAAAATTTGCCATTTTTGGCTGTCGCAGAATTCTTTCTCTGCTTTTAATAAGCAACTAAAACTTCTTACCCATGATACGCCAATGAACACTGCATTTCTCTAATGTAGGGAAAATTGATCACTTCCCAATTGTTATTAATACTTGATCCATAAACAATGTATTAGCTGTGTTGGACCCATTCCCCAACTTTACTAAGGCTAATCACCAAGGTTGCACAATCCCTAATCAACCCTTCTGCCATGAATTAATTCCCTTTTTAAGGATTAAATCCTGCCGTCTTTGGCTGTCGCAGACTTCTTTCTCTGTTGTTAATAAGCAACTAAAACTTCTTACCCATGATGGGCCAACGAACACTGCATTTCTCTAATGTAGGAGTAAGTGATCGTTTCCCAATTGTTATTAATACTTGCTCCACAAACAATGTATCAGCTATGTTGGAGCCATTCCCGAACTTCGCTAAGGCTGACCACTAAGGATGCACAATTCCTGGTCCACCAATTAATTCCCTTTGGAAGGATTAAAACTTGCCGTCTTTGGCTGTCGCAGACTTCTTTCTCTGTTGTTTATAAGCAACTAAAACTTCTTACCCCTGATGCGCCAACGAACACCGCATTTCTCTAATGTAGGGATAGAATATCGTTTTTCAAATGTTATTAATACTTGCTCCACAAAACAATGTATTAGCTTTGTTGGAGCAGTTCCCAAACTTTACTAAGGCTGACCACCACGGATGCACAATTCCAGGTCCATTCCCTTTGAAGAATTACAATCGGCCATCTTTGGCAGTCGCAGACTTCTTTCTCTGTTGTTAATAAGCAACCAAAATTTCTTACCCGTAATGCACCAACGAACACTGCATTTCTCTAATGTAAAGGTAATTGATCGTTCGCCAATTGTTATTAATACTTGCTCCAGAAACAATGTATTAGCTTTGTTGGAGCCATTTCTCAACTTTACGAAGGCTGACCATAAAGGATTATCAATCTTTGGTCAATCCTTCTGCCATAAATTAATTCCCTTTGGAAGAAATAAAATTTGCCATCTTTGGCTGTCGCAGACTTCTTTCTCTGTTGTTAATAAGCTACTAAAACTTCTTACTTGCTCCACAAACAATGTATTAGCTTTGTTGGAGCCATTCCGCAACTTTTCTAAGGCTAACCACGACGGATGCACAATCCCTGGTCCACCAATTAATTCCCTTTGGAACGATTAAAACTTGCCGTCTTTGGCTGTCGCAGACTTCTTTCTCTGTGGTTAATAAGCAACTAAAATTTCTTACCCTCGGTGCGCCAACGAACACTGCATCTCTCTAATGTAGGATCGTTTCCCAATTGTTATTAATACTTGTTCAACAAACAATGTTCCCCAAAGTATATAAATGACACTGCTTTCCATCGAATATTAATAGCCATGATCCACGGGCAGTATTTTACACCAAACACATATATTGGCCCCACCTATTAATTGAATATTCCCCACTAGTAATAATCCAACAATCAGCAATTTAATTCCTCGAGTAATATTAGTTTGTACTTATCCTCCTCTTCAAAATAAAATATCATTTTATATTTATTGATAAAATATCTTATTGATTGAAGTTCCAAAGAGCTTCTCCTTTTGACTGTAAAAATAGAATGACAAATTTGCAATCAAGTTGTTCTAAGCATACACTACCTTTTTTCTTGCATTGATGCTTCTTCTTATTACAATACTGGTTTTCACTCTCAATTTATTTTTCTTTTAAAGTTTCCATCTCTCTTTTTCTCTGTTGCTCTATTCATTTTTATGCTAGTGAAAAGGGTATTGCTTTATTTAATATTAACAAGAGAAAGAGAAGGCAACAAAGAGTGAAAAATAACAGAGAACAGTGTTTCTGTGGGGTGTGTTCAGTCAAAACTTCAGTGATGCTGCTGTAGTCAATATTTTGTTAGACATTTCTTTCATTATAAACACCTTGCTGGTCCAATATTCCCATCCTTATTTTCCTATCCAAAACCCAATTTCATTACCCATTACCACGTTCCAATCTGCACAGCTATATCATATTGTTCTTTTTTTTATATCTAATCTCTTAACTCCCATATCTTTGTTAATTTAGTTTCAACTTATTATATAAACTTAACAGAAAAAGTATTTAGACGAAGAACAACAAAACATGAAGAAAATAAATCAAAAATACATAAAATGTTACAAATTTGTGTTTTATTTTCTTATTTCGTGATTGAATAAAAAACAGTCGAAAGTCGGGCGGGGTCCACTATATTACACCCTACAACTATTATACCCGTATTATTCAATTTATTTGAAGTAGATCATGCCAACTAAGAACCCAATAACATTGATGTATAGTGCATGATATGACTTCGATAAGGATTATATTAAAAACTATTTATTGGAGTAATAGATATACCGGACCGAGTTCCACAAAAGGTAAAATTCGGTTGACTATGAAAAAATTAATTTGGGCAGTAGCCGTAAAATCGGATTAACGTGTATATCGAATAAAAATGTAAACAGATCTTTTAAAAAGGTATTTTCGAGCTGTATCTGATGTCCGGTATCAAATATCGTTGTTGTGGAGTACATATTATTTGATATCTGGTACCAAGGATAATTGTTGAAGAGTTCATATTACGCATATGAGGGACTTAAAACTCCAAATCGGATGAAACAAACAGGGAGAGATGAAAAAACTGCAACCAACTTCAGACAGTTGTTATTTCTAAGCCACTCGTCCGACAGCTGTTAAAATTATTCCAGTGACAGCTTATTATATTGTTTACAATCGTACAAAAGCATTTTGGTGAGAATTTTCCAGAAACAAGTTATTCGTGAGGGAATTCATTGGCTATCGTTACAGTGGCTATCGTTACAGCAGTCCAGCATTTAAATGTGAATAAATGTTTTGTGTCTCGTACCATCGCTCGCTACCGTGATACTGGTAGCGTAGCCCGACGTCAAGGAAATGGACAGAAGAAAACAGCAACATCAGCAGAAATGGTTTTAAAAATAAAGAAGCGACTTGATCAAACGCCGCGTCGCAGTGGCCGAAATATGGCTCGTGAGCTGAACATATCGCAATATTCCATTCGGAAAATATTGAAAAATGAGCTCGGGGTGAAGCCATTGAAATTCCAAAAAGTGTAAGAACTTACATCGCAAGAGAAAGAAAATAGACTCAAAAGAACTAAAGAGTTGCTTCGCTTGGCTGAAAGTGGTGAACTGCTGAATTTGGTTTTCTCCGATAAGACAACATTCGTTGTCCAGCAGTTTGTAAACAAACAAAATGATCGCGTTTACTTGCCAAAGAGGTCAGCTGAAAATGTGCACCTTCGCTGGCCACCAGAACTCAAGCGCCTGCCATGGTGATGGTGTGGGCCGCCGTAACAGCCGATGGTCGCTCTCCGCTCGTATTAATCGACCGTGGCATCAGAATAAATGCCGAATATTATCACGAAAATATTCTGGAGGGTGTATTAAAGCCTTGTGCACGCAAACATTTTGGCCGCAGACCTTGGACATTCCAACAGGACTCAGCACGCGCCACCCAAGAATGATTACAAAATGAGGTTCCTCTCTTCATTTCTAGCGCAAAATGGCCACCAAAATCTCCGGATACCAATCCGTTGGACCATTGTGTCTGGAGTATTTTGGAAGGCAAGGTTTGCACTACAAAATACCAATGTGTCGATCACTTCAAGCAAGCGCTTCGGCGGGAATGGGCCAAAATACCGCAGAGCAACATTCGGGCAGCATGTGATGGTTACATTGGCCGTCTGAAGGCCATAATTCGTGCCAAAGGTGACCAATTCGAACAAATCTAAACTTATTCTAAAATTTGATGATATTTCCGAATTTTTTTAATTAAAAAAAATGTAAAAATTATGGCGTTTGACTTTGTTGCAGTTTTTTATCTCACCCTGTATTTCGACACCGCCAAAACGTGCCTCATCGAAATAACGGTTTTAGACCATAGGTCTCTTTGGACCAAATCCGTTTCAGGACATTTGGAGTCGACCTAGCGATGTCCGACCATCCGTCTGGCTGGCTGGTGCGCACGATAACTTTCGAAGGGAGTAACCGATTTGGTCCAAACTCGGTACATCGTAATTATTGTCAAACTTATATAGAGTTCGGAGATGGACAATATCGCCCCACTTCTTCTGGTAGATATTAATTTAATATTTTTATATGAATGTATTTGGTAGATTCCCAAACCAAGAAGGGATTTCTGCTAAAATTAAAGTTCTCACATAGTGGAGGGCAAAAAGTTATTGCCTCAGAATAAAAGTTATTTGAAGTTGTGCTCTTTTACATATTTATTGTCATTTCATACTTATAAACTAAACATTTGTTCTCTCCCTCTCTCTTACTCCCTTAACTATAAAAATGGATTGCTCTGTTTGCGATTAATTTCCTTGGGAACGACATATTTTCGAATAGGATCATTGTATATTGGACTTTCCATGAAGTAGCCTCTTGCCTGATCGGCCTCAAAACGGGCATATTCACGGGCATCCTTGGCTCGGATGCAGCCCCATATAATGCAGATGATGATGAGTCCTAAAATAAATGTTGCCAACATTACGAAGCCAATTACGCTCGCATAATTAATCGGTTCGCATTTGTTGATTTGTATCAGTAGATAATTTTCCAGATGATTAATCATTTTGTACGTGAAATAATGGTCACACTCAATGCCAAATTCATTTTCCACTCGGGCCAGGCAACGATTCTCAATATCTACAAAAAAACAAAAACGGAGCAGATAAAAATGCCAGAAAATAGTTTTTCTCTTTTTCTCAAAACCTACCCAATTCCTCAGTGACATAGACCGCGGTAAAACGTTCATGTTTCTCCGCCTTGCCACATATATCCGTAACATTCGGACACTTGCCCGACGCCGTCTTCTCCTCGATCATACAACTGACACACGGTTCAAAAAAGGTGCAAAACTTATTGTCTGTCTCAGAGCCGATTTCACAATATCTCCCCACATACGGTTCGTCACAAACACATTCACCACACTCACAATAACCGCGATCGGAACACACCTCACCCATGGGACCAATACATCCATCGGTGCTCTCTTTACAATTACAACGATTGCCGGACCAGCCATATTTACAAACGCACTGGCCGCACACGCAGTTCGCACGCTCAGGATCACAGTCAGCATTACATTCCGGGCATTCACAGAATTTACCCTCATAACCGGGGAAGCAGAAACAGGTGCCGCAGTCACATTCGCCACGATTCGAACAAACGGGACCAAGATCATCGGGTTGTTTGATATCATAGGGTTTGCGACAAAGTCGCTCAATGGCTTCGAGGGTGGTGGCATTAGTAGCATCGGTAGGGCAGGTACAAAATGGGCCAGTCCTGAAAATAAAAAAATTACAGCAATAATTTAGTTTAGTCGACCGGCCGTAAAATGGCGAATATTTAGCACAATTTGAACACGTTTGAGAGACAGTCAGTAAGTCGAACCAACAATCGATCCTTAAAGTTATGTTTCTTCCCTCACATTTCTACATTTGGTCCTTCGAGCCGGATTTAGAATCGAACCGTAAGGCTGTGTTTTCTTTCTCGCCTTTTTTCATTTGGTGCTTCGAGCCGGATAAAGAATCGATCCACAGGTTACTGTTTCCTTTTTCGCCTTTCTATATTTGGTCCAATCGAGCCGGCTATAGAATCGAATCAACATCAACATAAGGTTGTCTTTCCTTTCTCGCTTTTGTACATTTGGTCCTTCAAGCCGGATATAGAATCGAATCAATAACCGAATCGTAAGGTTATCTTTTCTTTCTCGCTTTTGTACATTTGGTCCTTCAAGCCGGATAAAGAATCGAATCAATAACCGAATCGTAAGCTTATCTTTTCTTTCTCACTTTTGTACATTTGGTCCTTCGAGCCGAATAGAGAATTGAATCAACAATCGAAACGTTAGCCAATGTTTCCTTTCCTGTCTCTGTACATTTGGCCCTTCGAGCCGGATAGAGAATCGAATCAACAATCGAAACATAGTTATGTTCCTTTCTCGCCTTTGCACATTAGGTCCTTCGAGGCGGATAGAGAATTGAATCAACAACTGAACCGTAAGGTTGTCTTTCCTTTCTCGCTTTTGTACATTTGGTCCTTCGAGCCGGATAGAGAATTGAATCAACAATCGAAACGTTAGACAATGTTTCCTTTCCTATCTCTGTACATTTGGCCCTTCGAGCCGGATAGAGAATCGAATCAACAATCGAAACATAGTTATGTTCCTTTCTCGCCTTTGCACATTAGGTCCTTCGAGGCGGATAGAGAATTGAATCAACAACTGAACCGTAAGGTTGTCTTTCCTTTCTCGCTTTTGTACATTTGGTCCTTCGAGCCGGATAGAGAATTGAATCAACAATCGAAACGTTAGACAATGTTTCCTTTCCTATCTCTGTACATTTGGCCCTTCGAGCCGGATAGAGAATCGAACTGTAAGGTTATTTTTCCTTTCTCGCCTTTATACATTTGATCCTTCGAGCCGTATAGAGAATTAAATCAACAATCGAACCGAAAGTTTGTGTTTCCTCTCTCTCTAGCTTCCGGCAATTGATTACCGATCATAAACTGGTCTACTAGCTTCAGAAGACTTATAAAAGGTAATCTACCAGAACACACCCATGAAATACGTATAGAAGATCTTCTTTTTATGAAAAAAAACTGGAGACGATTTCTAACCATGTAAGACCTGTGGAGTGTCTTTTATTTTTAGAGGGCCAGCAGAAAGTCTTCTAGCGCTGAAAATTTTGTTGAAGGTTTGAAGTCCTGCAGTAGTTCTTCTAGCCAAAATAAGGCGTAGAAGTCATTTTAGCTGAAATAGAGATTTTTTGAGACCCTTTAAACCCTAGACGACCTGTAGAATCCTGCTGACGATCTGTTTATTCCAAAAAAAAAAAAAAACTACAGAAGACCTGAAGAGGGTTTTTTATCCATTGAAGATATTTATAAGGCCCATAGAAAGTCTTCTAACAAGGGACCTATGGAAGATCTTCCAGCCATTGAAAATCTTTAAAGGAACCTCATAGAAGGTCTTCGAAACATAAAAAATCGGAAACGACCTTCTTGCCATGAGAGGGCCCGTAAAGGACCTGGAGACGATTTCCAACCGTGTAAGGCTTGTGGAGTGTACCTAATTTTTAGAGGGCCTTCAGAAAG